CCTGGTGCACACAAACCCACCTTCCAGAGGAGTTACCTTGCTATTCATCAAGCAGAGGCTGCCTGTTTATCTGTATCTTTGGCTTTTCTACTCCTGTCCTCTACTGCCTGGCAGCTTTTTCCCTCTAGATGCAAAAGTTCTGATGAAAGGAGATGCACAGGCACTTTTTCCAGTGAGGAGTATTTCCTGTCTAGCTGATACTCACATTTGGATGTTAAATTGGAATTAGTCTGTCAGATGCTTGTTTGTGTAGTCTTACTCCACCATCACTGAATGTGCTGGATAGACAGAGTGTGATTTTTCTTCAAAGGCTATGAAAAGAAAATGTTTAGGCTGACAATATACAGAGCAGTAAAATAAACTTATGTGGGAAGGTATGACTGGACTGGCAGTTCCCCAGAGGAAGTACAAATATATACAATTTTGAGACATTATCCTTAAATACCACCACCTGGTTGTAAGTGCAGCCACATATGTCCTAGGAGGACATTATTGTGAAGCAGCTTATCAAACACACTTGGTTTTAGGGCTTTGTAGAGGATGAAGAGAGCCTTGAACTGAAATCAGTTCAGCTGTTAATGCAAGTGAGAAGCTCGTTTCCCTATTAAAGGAGCTCTTCTCATGCTTACAGTCAACTGAGTCCCTGGCATTGTGCAGGTGGTCTCAGAAGAGCATTAACAAACTCAGTGATTTCTGAAAGGGTAATGACTATCTTCCTGCTTGTGTTTCAGATCCTTCCCTTCTTTGCACACCCCCTTCTTCTCCCAAATACCAGTTAAGTGCACTGTTATCACCTGTCTTCTAGAGAGGTCTATTTTTTTCCAACCAGGAGAATATTTTGCCTTTGCTTCGCTAGAATCTTCACTGCAGGAGAATCTTCCACTTGCAGGTAGATACCCTGCCAGGTCTTTGGGGGTAAGGCTCTTTGCCAGGAATGGGATGGTTTGTCTCAGAAATGGGTAGGTGGTAGGTTGCACCACTGTATGCACCTAGAAGGAATAGGGTCACTGGCCCGTGCTTTTCCAGATTTGTTGTAATTTCTCATGTAGCGCAGTTTGAGAAAGAAATCTATAATCTCAGTCCCTGGGAGCTAGAGAAAAAAGCTTAAAATGCTCCAAAATCAGAAAGCAAATTAAACTCCTCATAAATTTCTATGAATCTTGTCCTTTTTCGGCCAGTGTCACAACCCTCTTGTGCTCTGATTGCTTGGGTTTGACAGAGCTGAGACCAGGGCTTTTCCAAGCTTGTTATTCTCTGCAAAGAGTAACAGACAGTTCCTCAAGTATTTTTCTGTTGTATTGTTTGTTTTTTTGCTTTAATTTTTGCAGCAGAAGCAATCAGTTCAGATAGTTGTTTTCTGCAACAGGCTCTAGATATGAGTCATCCTGTATTTGTCTCAAACAAAGCATGCAACAGTACATTTAAACTAAAAAAAAATAAATCTAAACAAACTGGATTGCCATGACAACACCTGCTACCTACAGGAGGAGCTGTGTTTTTCTGAACATGCCAGAGACACTGAGAAGTGAAAAGAAACACTTGATACCCGCTGAAACTTGGATTTCCGTGTTCAATTTGCAAATAAGAAAAACTGACTCTGCTGTAATGCAAATGCTGTTGCCCAGCCTGGGGAAAAGCTGATTGCCAATTAAGAGGCAGATTCTTTTAGTCACCTCACCAGTAATACTGTTTTGCCTGGGATTAACTGATAAAGTGGGAGATGTTACAGGTAGGGATTTTTCTCCCTTGGAATTCCAGCAGACACGAACAGCAATATAGAAAAGATCATTAATTTGAAATGTAATTCACTTAGTCAACTAATTAAAAGAAAATACTTTAGTTGCCATTTGCAGGTAGGCTGCTGAAATGTAATTAGCTCCTGGAATGATTCCATGAATCTTTTGAGTCTTTTCAAAATTTGCAAATTATTTCCTTGAGGTGTCAGCTTTGGTGAGAGGGTTCTTCCAAAGTTTCTCTTGCATTTAGCTTTCTCCATGGTTAGCTTTGTGATATGAGAGCCATACAAATGTAAAAGAGTATCATGTGCTTTTGAGAACCATAAGGAAAAGGCAGCACTGAATTGTCAGTAACTATTATTAGCATCTTGTTATTTTTCTGTTCCTAGTACCTAGGGTAGCGATAGTTTGTAGTGGTTTATTTTATACAGCCATCCATTGCGTTCAAGGACAGGTTACCAATGCTGAAAACATATCCAAACTTTTGCTTGGATCAGAGCTTGGTCAAGGCTTTCTTGCAGCTTACAAACACCTCCTAAAATCAGGCAGTGCCCTTCTGCATCTTGCTTCTGTGCCTGCTGATGGCACTTGCACATTCATTGAGGGTGTTCAGGCTTGATCACAAGACATAGCAGAGGGTTCTCCAGTTGGGTGTCTGGAGAGGTGAACCAGTTGACCGTACACATACGGTAATGACAGTCACAGGCTTTAAAACAGTTAACCAGCATTGGCAGAGTATATTTAAGCCACTAATTATTGCCGCAACAGAACAGAGCAATTGTCCATCTCCTCTGGGATCTGCCTCTGGCAACAAGTTGTGCACATGGCTCCCAAGGAAGACTGAAACCCCAAAAACACAGGGAAAGAGAGACTTGTTTTACAAACCTCTCCTGATCTGTGCACATCCTGGAGCGTGTCTTCTCATCTTCAACAGCAGTTTGCCCTAACCTTCCAGCAGAAATGCGTTAATTCATGCTAATCAGCCTACCCCCCAAAATTCCTCTTTTTGTTAAACTGACTCAATCTGCTATGGCAGCAACCTGTTTGTTTATCCTGTGCTGTGTAAAGGTATGTCAATTCCTGCCTTATCGGTGAAGATGCAGAAAAGCAACTTGTCTGTCTTTACCTGCAGTGCTGCAGTTCGCAAAGATCCCAAATGTCATCTCGTTCCTTCCTACCCAGCAGCCCAGCCTGAATAAGTAGAGGAGTGTTTCTGGTGTGTGTGGTGGTTTGCATACAAACTGCCATGAATATTGTGGTGCTTACTGAATATGTTAATATGCCAGGGCATAAAGGGACACTCCCTCCAAAAACTGGGCTTTCCTAAGGCATCAAGTGCAAAACCAACACAACGCTTCTGAAAATCCTGTCTAATATACATGCTTGTAACAATATCATATTCCTGACTAGAAAAGATAAATTTATTTCTTTAGAAATAGTGAATTATAAAAATTGTAAGAGGAGTCAGAGTAAAATTAGATTATGTTTTTGAGGGATGTTTTCTCAAATAGAAACTGGCTTTTTAATCACTGCCTCTGTTGAGAGAAGATGAATTTTCTCTCACTTTTCTCCTTGTTTACTACCATAGGATGGGGGGAAGGGGAGATGGAGGTATGGAAGAGAAATGTACCAAATGGCTGAAAATATTAAAAATACGGGAATACTCCATTTTCTGTCAGAATTTGGAACTTAGAGAGATTTGTGAGGAAGCAGAAATGTGCCTTTTCCACTGTTTATAATGAAACACTATTTGAGCTATGTAAGCCTCCCTGCTTTTCGGTTGCTGTGCTGCTAGGGAAGTTTGTTTTTCAGATGAGAAGGGAAATCGATATCCTAACTTTTTTTGGTTATTTAAAAATGTTTTCACAAAAATTTAGGCCTATTTCCTCCTTGTGTCTTGGCCCAGCATTTATCTGGGAACTTCCATCCTGCCTGCCTGGAGTCACATTTAGCTTCAGTGTCTTACGCCTTCTGCCACAAACATAATATAATGTTGTAAGCACTGTTGTAAGGGGCTGTATTTTGACCCCAAAGAGGCATGTTTGCAAGTGAAACAATCCTCTGTCTACATGGCTCTACATCTCTTGGGCATCTTTTGTTATAATTTTAATAAACCTGCTAAGGTACCATGGCAACTGGGTGTGATAACAACAGCCAAAGCAGGCTCAGATGGAAGAAATCCTATGCAGGATAGAGTAGAATTTCATTTAGTTTTGAGTATTTGCTGTCTTTAGTGCTGTGTACAATGTGGATTTTTCCATTTGTGAACCAAGGAAGGGTTTGTCTGTTCTAAGGCTATCGCAAGTTTGCTTGGTTGACTTCATGATTGCTGGAATAATCTCCAGCCTCTTTCATAGAAAAGTATTTGAACTTTTGTAAATGTGGTTTGAGGGGTATGCACTTCTGGGGAAACAAGTGTCAAGCAGCAAAGAAACTGGGGGAAAGAGGGGATGTTGGTTTAGGGCTTTTTTTTTAGTTTTTATTTTTCTTTTAATTTTTTCTTTTCTTGTTTTTATTAGCCCTGTCACACACATGCTGTTCTTGTTCAGTCTTCTGAAAGCCCTGCATGCTTCCCAGAGGGCAGCATGGTTCCCCATTTCCATTCCCCGTTAATTTTCTCTCTATTGAGAATACCAATTAATGAAGATTACAACAATTTGAAAGGCTTCCTACTTCTCTATCACTTCTATGGCTGTCTTATGCAAGCTGTTGCCAGCCCTAATAAGCTGTGATGGGATCAGCCGAGAATCACTCTGTGCCTTTTTCTTCTGTGTTTTCTCTCTATGCAGACAGAAAAGTCTGACTTTAATTGCTCAATATTGTGCACATAGGAGAAATCCTAAATTGTAAGTTAAATCCAGCTAGAAGGATATTTTGTATTGCAGAAGTGATGCAGTGAACTGTGAAACAGTTCAATATATGTATGTACCTGCTTACTTATTATTTACTTATTGCTGAAGCTGTTGAAAAGCCACTTCAAAAATCAAGCATTTGAATGGGAGATGAAGATTGCTTAGTTTTCCAAAGGCTGGTGCATAGAAACCGCATGAATATTATTGATCTTATGTTATTTCTTTAAATGACCTGTTGAAATGCCCCTCTCCTGTGTTAGCATCTCTTTATTGACAGAGACGAATGGTATTGCCTGTGAGTGCAGAGCTTTTTGTTTTCCTCCTCCTATACAGTAAGTGGTAATTGTCAAAGGAAAATGTTTCATATTTTTGCAGTCATTTCATGTATTACATTATCTGTCTTCTTTTGCAGGTTTCTAACTTATTCCTACCTTCTGGCCTTCAATGCGTGGCTTCTGCTGGCGCCAATCACCCTGTGCTATGACTGGCAGGTCGGCAGCATCCCTTTGATTGAGTCCATCTGGGATGCGAGAAACTTGGCCACAGTGTTCTTGGTGCTGGTGATGACGTTACTCAGCCTGCACTGCATAGCTGCATTCAAGGTATTGGCAAAAGACGCGCAATACAGTGTTTTGTTTAAAATCTTTCATTCAGGTGAAATGGTCAATAAGTGCAAGTTTTTCTCTTAAGTGCATTCAGTGGAGGTGAAAAAACAGTACCACTACATAACTAATACAGCCAAGCTTAACAGATGAAAATGTCCCTCTAGTTCAATGTCTTAGTCTCTAATTGGTCTGATTTGAGGGCAAAACTTGTCCTAGAGTTCTGCATTCAATTGCTGCTAATGATCTGAACACCACTGAAGTTGTTAAGCCTCTCTGCCTCTCCCATCGTCATTAGGCTCCTTGTCACTTGCTTCAAACAGGACTGGGAACTGTCATCTGCAGAGCCATTTGAAACTGAAATCTGTTATTGTATCTGTATCTTTCCTATGCTTCTAAAACCTAACTGTTAGATACTTCTTGATGAGAAGATTTCCCATCAGCATAGTAGTAGAATGTGGGAAATCTGAAATGATCTGGAAATTATTTAGTGTAAATAATATAGTTGGTAAGCTGTGCTTCTTCACAGTTCAGCACTTCAGATCTACTATTAATTGTATTGCAGAAATCAAAGTGAGGTTGTACTACACTTTTCAGGGGTCAGATACACATTTGGAAGGGGTCTTTTTGTGGATCATAGGGAGTTACAAGCTATTCCTCCTTCAGCTGTATTGTGGAAACTTCTTTAGGAAAGGTGTTGGTCGCAATTTTTGAAATAGTACAAAAATTTCTCTTCCTTAAACATACAAATTACTGAAAAGCATAGAAGGCGAGTGCCAAGTTTTTAATACCTATCTTATGCTAAAATGTGCTGGTTATATACATGCTTCAGTCTACCCTGGCAGTCTTCGCTGTGCTCCTGATAAGAGACAGAAAATGAACCAAACAGTTTGCTACTGCAGAGTTATTAATTTAGATTATACATTGACAGATGCTGTATGGGAAATATGGGAAAATACCCTATTAGGTATTCAGTAGTTCTACCTGCAGGATGTATATCATGTTGTATTCCTCCTGCTTTCATTACTCACTGCTAGAGATGCTCAGAAATGTTTGTATTAGACCTAACCCTATTCCCAGGGAAGTTCATGATAAAATTCTCATTAGCCTAGTAGCGAACACTTCTGAAAAATCTTATTCTATGTTCTTTAAGGTTTTGGTTGCTTTTATTTCTTCTCTTGTTGGAATTAGTACTATGTGCAAGATTAATATTGTTGGTTTGCTGGGGGAAAAAAAATCAGGTTTATCCAAAGACATTTTATGTTATTTTGTTTTGGGTAAAACTATAATCCAGGAGGATTCCTTTGAGTAAATGATCTGTTTGTCTTCTGTTAAACTGCAAAAGAGAATATTTCAAAACATTTTGTGCATTAAATGTCTATGTTTTATCATAATTTTATTCCGTCTGTTTGTTTTTTTTCTTAAAGACAGTTCAGTCTGGATTTATGAATATCATTGTTTGATTTGAAACGGCAACTCCATTTCTTTGTGGGAGTAAGTTCATTGTTTTGCCCTTAACCACTGTTAATGTTGCATTAAGCAACAGGAATTTCACTCTCCAGGCATTTACTTACTGGATGCTTTGAAATTAATCTTGTAGATTCCTTTGTGTTTATTCACAAGCAGGGAATGAATGGGCTCTGAAGTGTTCTGCTTTTATGTCTAACCCAAGTAAAACCAGAACCATAATCTCTTCACAGAATGGTAGGGGTTCGAAGGGACCTCTAGAGATCATCTAGTCCAACACACCTGCTAAAGCAGGGTCATCTACAGCAGGTTGTACAGGATCTTGTCCAGGCAGGTTTTGAATGCCTCCAGAGAAGGAGACTCCACAACCTCTCTGAGCAGCCTGGTCCAGTGCTCTGTCACAATTGAAGTGAAGAAGTTTTTCCTCATCTTCAGCTTGAACTTCCTGTGTTTGAGTTTGTGCCTTTTGCCCCTTGTCCTGTCACTGGGTGCCATTGAAAAGAGTCTGGCCCCATCCTCCTGCCACCTGCCCTTTAGATATTTATAAGCATGGATAAGATCCCCTCTCAGTCTCCTCTTCTCCAGAATAAACAGGCCAAGGTCTTTCAGCCTTTCCTTTCAGGAGACATGCTCCAGTCCCCTCATCATCTTTGTAGCCCTATTCTTGACGAAATGCTCTAATCAGTCTTCATTTGCAGCCTCCCTGCAACCGACTGTGACCATGCAACTGGTAATGATTCCTGGGGGTCAGTTTGGACATGCTTCCCCCAGGCCTAGGTATAATCAGAGATAGCTGCAATATTCTGCTTTTCAGGAAACTCTAAATTTCTAAAGCTATTTTCTATTTCATTTTTAATGGCTCTCATAACAGCCCAGTTGTGATATTGCCGTTAAGTTGTATGAAGATGATTGTGTTGTGCTGAGTACTATGAATTATTACAGAAGACAAACAGTAGGAAGAGGCACATTTCCTGGCAATAAATTGTCCTGTTTGGCTTTGGACACTCTCAGAAATTTCTTCTACAGCAAGGAGAGGGAAGTTCAGGACACGTGAAGTGCAGGCACAATTCATTATATTAGGCTTTTAAGAAAGCTTCTTTCTAAATGCAACAGGAGTGGCCCCTCATATGACATTGCTCCCCTTGAGAAGGACCATCCCTCAGTCAAGCCCCAGAGGCTTTTCTCAGTATTTTGCAGCTTGTAAGCAGCATAAGATGCATCAGTTTATTTTTCACAATTCATAAAGTGTAAGATGTTCTGCTTTCTTTTTGAAGCAAACACAGAAAACTGTCTTAGCAGCCATTTTCCTCTCCTTTTTTCATTGCAAAGTCTAACCTGGAACCAATAGATTGCAATTTTCTAAGGAATAGTTTTACAGTGAACAGACATGCAGTGTGTGTGCCTTTCATTTGAGTGTGTAGGTGCACAGGGGTGAGAGAGGACAAAACCTCATATTCATTCTCGCTGGCACTAACACTTTCTGTGGCATGGAGAATGGAAGTGCTAGAAGTGGTTTTGGCAGAAGTGAAGACATTTGTGCAGTGAACACTGGACTGATTTTTTCAGTGGCAAGAGGCGATGCGTCTGCATCCACAAAACAAGCCCACAGGAGCCTCACAGAATATATTACATGGACTGTAATTAGAGAATGCATGTATTGGATTTCTGCCTTTGTTGGCATTGAATTTTAAACAGGACTAATTTGTTGTTGACGTTTGTGATTAGGGTAATAACCCTGCTGGCATGTATGTGTAGTGCTGATAAAGGACATCTAAGGCATGAAGCTTTCTTGTTGCATTTCATTTTGTGAACGTTGTTACACCTCAGAAGGAGAAGAAACAGTGCAAGATTTCTACCCAGAAGTGCTTTGCTTGGAACATGTTAGTTACTAGATGGGGGTTTCTATGCTGAAAACTGCCAAAACAGAGAAGGCAGCTGGTCCCGTTTTTTATTGTTTGGAGAAAGAAGCCTCCCTCCTCATCTTCCTCATGGACTTTCACTGTTGTCCTCCTTCTTACATAATGAGGAAGTCACTTGAAAAATTGCATTTTTAATTCCTTGTATATGACTTTCATTCACTGGGTTTCGTGTGTGCAGTGCTAATCCCTCTTGCTTATTGGCCATAAGCAGATTCCCAAGAAGGACTTGTTGCTCTGCATGGTGTTTAGGTGCACAGCCATGCTTGTCTCTTGCTGCAGCCATCCCTATCACACCTAACAATGCCCATCTTCAGGAGGCCTGATGGAAGGAAATAAAGAAAAGGCCTACTCCTTGGCATCTCCCACTTTGATAGTAAAGGACTTTGCTGTCATCTCTGGCCAAGATTTTTTCATAGTGACTAATGTGGCAAAGTTGCAGTCCATCATTAAGCAGCTCTCTGAGACCTTTTGAGACTTGATTTCTCATCACACCGGTGCCCAGCACGCTCTGCAAATTGGCCTCTTTTGGGCTGTGTCAGCCAAGGCACCAGGAGTCACTGGCGGGTCTCAAAATCCTCAGATTCTGCTCAGCTCTTTTTAGTGAACTTTCTCACCTAGTCTGGTTGAGCTCTGAGTAGCGTGCTGGGGATGTGACAAAGGCTAGGAACGCTATTGCAAATGCCTGCATCCCAGAGAAATAATAATAGTTGAAAAAAGAGAAGGAGATTTGTTTATTGTTCATTTTCGAAGACAGCCTTAGCAGCAAGGAATGGACGTGGTCAATATTCCAGCTTTGGAACTAGGTAGATTACAAAGGTACCAGTGAAATGGATGGAGCACTCTCTTTGTGGTTGCCAGGCATGCCAGTTACAGGGCCAGAGAAATAATCTGTCTGATGCTTCAAATGGCCAGTAGCGTACCCAAGGGCCTATGGCGCTGCCTTTCTATTCTGGGAGAAATGGCATGCACCTGGTGAACTAGAGAGTGGACAAGAAATCTTGGTGTATCGTCGGGATAACTGCTATTTCTTTGACATGTCATAATAATTCAATGAGCATGAAAGGAAAACACTTCGGATGTCTGAAATGCCACTCAGCATGGCATTTTTAGGTCGTTGCTTAATTAGCAGCATGATTAAAATGCAGCTTGTCCTGTAGTAGTAGTTGTGAACATAGGTGCAGAGCCCATGATGGACTGGATTTCACTTTCTATGTGGTACCTGATATATGGAGGGCTGATGGTGGGAAAACTGATGTGGTGAGTTAATTCAGAGCAAGGTGATCTGGAAAACTTAATTTGAAACAGTATCTTTTGTACCTGACCGGTCTAGGGGAATTTATTGCACCTCATACTGCTTGGCCCTTGTCTTGCATTTATACTCATGACCAGCGTTACGGAGGTAGCTCCTTGTTCAGCAGAATGATGTGCAGCAGTTTGCTCATGTCTGAGAAGAAAGTGCTACTTATGTTTCAAATCAATTAAAAAAAAATCTCTAGCATCTTCTAGGATGTATCTTTTTCAAGAACATGCTTTGCTGCTGTGTGTGACATGGCTACCTATGATACAGGAAATTGTGATGATTTTCTGGTTGTATTTGTTGCATGCAACTGAGAT